TATTGATAAATCTTTTTTTACTCCCCCCCCCATGGGGTTTTAAAAAATTTTTATCCGGAACTTTTTTCGAACTTTTTTACGATTCATTTTCTTTTTAAGTTGTTTCAAATCTTTCAAAAATTTTCAAAATTTTCAAAAAAAATTAAAAAAAGGAAATTAAAAATTAAAATCTTTTTTTTTTATTTTTATTTTAATTTTTAAATTATTTTAATTGTTTATTTAATTTCTATAATTATTATAATTGTATTTGGGTGTGTGTGGGTGATATTTAATTAAGTTTTGATTATATTTTATTGGGTTTTTTTTTGATTAATTTTAATTTTAACTTAATTCGATAAGGAAAAAAAAAAAAAAAAAAAAAAAAAAAACCAAAAGTTCAAAACAAATCCTGTATCGCTTTTATATATTATAGTTTTAAAACTAAATTATTTATAATTAAATCCATCGAGTTTCTACTTATGGTTAATTGAAAAAACAAATAAATAAAAAAATCATGATTTAAAAAATTTGTCGAAAAGTTGCAAAACAAAGAAGTGTCTATTCATATTTGAATTTAAATATATAAAAAAAATAAAACATTTTCACCTCTTTTTCTTATGAATCCATAAATTTTATGAACTTCTTTTTATTTATAATAAATTCAGAATTAACCACGTTGGAAAGGGGGGAAAGGGTAATTATTGTTTTTGATAATTAGGTTGTTTTAATTTTTTAAAAAAAAAAAAAGAAAATATCTTATTTTTTATAATTTTTTTATTTTATTTTTTTTTAAATTTTCATTTTTTTATTCATCTTAAAAATTTAAACAAATAATGAATATAATTATTACAATCCCAGTTATTTTTATTTTATATTGTATTATAGATTTCGTAAATTTCTAATATAAAAAATAAAATAAAAACAGAATTTTAAAAATAATATTCTAATTTTTTTTTTTTTTTTAAAATCTAGCTATATAAAAATTTAAGTAATAGATCTTTTAAAGGACCCATTGCAATTCCTTTATTGGGAAATTTGTTACATATTAAAGATGACCCACATTTAGTATTTCAAAGAGATAGCAAAATATACAACGATGGTAAATTTGCACGTTATTATTTTTGTGACACAATGACATTGGCAATATTCGATCCAGAATTACTCAGGGAGATATTTGTAAAGAATAACGATTCAATTAATAGCAGAGTTAAAACACCATCAACTAATATCATTGGTAATAGATTTAGGGGCATTGTTACTTCTGATGAAGTTTATTGGCAATTCCACAGAGACATTTTGATGAAATCGTTCACCGGCACCAAAGTTAAAACATTATCCTCATCAATCGAGAAAGAAACCAATCATTTAATAGATTACATGAAATATATTTCAAAATCAGGTCAAAATGTACCATATACACATATAGATATAATCAATATTGAAATATATAAACTAACCATATTTTTTATTTCTAACTATAGTTTTCAACAAGAAATAATTTTATGAATTTTAATTCAAATATTGTATTTGATTATGTTTTTAGCAGACGTATAGAAAATATTTATGAAGGTGTAGATATCGAGCAAAATAAAGTTTTGGTTGCAATCAGAGAGTTGTTTGATTATTTAGCAGATACCGTAGTTTTTAATTATTTAAATATTACTCAACCATTTTATTATTTATACTTCAAATTATTTGGACATACAGCAGATAAATTAAAGAACATCTTAAAGAAATACTATCATGAGCATTCAGAAACCATCGATTTAAATAACCCAAGAGATGTTTTGGACTCTTTAATTATAGAGTATCGTAAATACGATGGAAAAGAAGAGGAACAATCGATTATACCAATGACCAACGAATTAATTTTAGCCGGTGTAGAGACCAACAGTACCACAATGGAATGGTTTATTATAAACATGTGTAATCACCCAGAATATCAATCTAAAATCTATAATGAACTTTTAGCAGCTTCTAAATCTGGTCCAATTACCATTTCTCATAGACCTTCAACCCCACTTTTTAATGCAGCCATAAAAGAAACCTTAAGACTTTGTCCACCAGTGCCATTTGGCGTTCCACGTGTTGCTGTTAAAGATTTCAAAGTAAATGGTTTAAATATTCCAAAAGGTGTAAGTATTGATAATAATAATAATAATTCAGTTTTATTTGTATATTAAACACTAATTATAAAATGATTTATTGTTTTTATAGACCCAAATCATTCAATCATTATATTCAATTTTTAGAGATGAAAAGTATTATGAAGAGCCAAATAAATTCAAACCTGAAAGATTCCTTGTAGAAAACAACTATCCATTTATGCCATATGGAAGTGGTCCAAGGGATTGCTTGGGTCTTGATATTAGTATGAGAGAATTGTATATATTATTATCAAATATTTTATTAAATTTCGAATTCTCCTCAATCGATGGTAAACCAATTAGCGAACAACCAGTATTCGGCTTCTCTTTTAGACCACATGAATACCAAGTAAAATTAAAATATAGAAATAATTAAATTCTTATTTACACCTAAAATAAAAAAACAAATATTTATATTTTAAAATTTTATTTATTATATAATATTTTATTTTAATTTTATTTATTTTTTCTAAAAAATGTTAACTGCAAACTTGAACTTGAGTGATATTTCTTTATAAAACTAATTGGTTGTATCGCATTTGCCTGGCCAGGACAAAATAGATATTCTTTAAATAGTTGATTATATTGAAATATTGTAACTTTGTTATAATATAATATTGTAAATAATGATTATTATCATTTTGATTAATTTTATGTAATTACTTTTATAGGTTAATCTATCTCTGATGGAACTGACTGTTCGGTATTTATGTATATTTAATGTTCTGAAATAATACTAATTATTTATTGTAGCTAACAGACCCTGAAAGATAACTTGATAATTTGATACCTTTTTTTAATAAATTAATAAAAATTAAATAGTTAATATTAGTGTTTTCAGATTCCTAATTTCATCAATATATATTATAAATATTGGGTTTGTTTATATTAATGTTCAAAAACTTACTAGGTGAAAAAAACTATCTTAGGTGGTTATTGAAAAATTAAAAAATTTAAATAAAAAAAAAACTATTTTGGTGTGGCAATTAAGAAAATAAGAAATGGCATTGAGTTTAGTTGAAAGTGTTGTAAATTGTTTTGACCCTCTTTTGATTATATACATTACATACAATGATTAATAATATGGAACCCATTCTCCACTTACTTCATCATACTCCTCTACAGATGGTGGTTCTCCATTGAAATTTGCACCACTAGATTGTGATTCTGGATTATAGTGTGATTGTGGTGCACCAGAAAAAGAATGACGCGATTCATTTTGGTTAAAAGATGGATAGCTGGATGATTCTCTTTTATGAATATAAGCAGATTCTTGAGAATTGGATGATTGTTGTCCATCGGAAGAAGAATAACGTGCTTCACATTTGTTGAAAGCTGGGTAGTTAGATGCTTCCTTTTTATAAGTACTATTTGACTCATTTTGATAATCTGGTGGAGAAGTTGCTGATTCTGTTCTTTTTTTACAGAATGACGAGATTCTTTTTGATTGAATGTTGGGTAGACGGATGGCTCCCTTTTATATCTTTGGTCTGTTTCTGTATTATTGGATGTTTGTGGTTCATCAGAAAAGGAATGGCGTGCCTCGTTTTTATTGAATGTTGGGTAAACTGATGGTTCTCTTTCTGATACTGGACGAGCATATGGGATTTGTTCATAATATGATTGATTATTGACATTTCCATTATTGTAGTTGTTGCCATTGTTGCAGTTGTTGTTGCCATTTTTGTCATTGAAATAGTATTTAATTAAAACCATACCAAATAAGAAGGAAATAACTAATGTGATAATGGTTTCACAAAATAAAAAAACATAGTCGTTCATTTTTTTTTTAGGGTAGTTTATTAATCTATATAAAAAAATTATTGCTATATATTATAAATTATTATTATTATTATTGACTATTTTTAAAAAAAAATGGATATAATTATTTGTATATTGATAAAACGAAAATGAAAAAAAATTAATATTCCCCCACATCCACAAAAAAAAAATTTTTAAATTCAAAAAAATGAAAAAAAAATAATAATTTTAAAAAATAAAAAAAAAATAAATGGGGTTTCTGTTTTTATTTAAAAAAAAGAAATTTCAAATTTTCTACAAAAGAAATAAAAGATGGCTCACATAATTATTAAAAAGTTATAACAATAGTTTTTAATTTATATAGCCACTATAGATTTTATTATAATGATTTTTATTACTTTCCTTTATTTATTTCCACTTTTAGAAATTTATACTAATTATATTTTTTTTATTTTTAATAGTTATTCATTAATAAATTATCATCTGGTAATTTGGAAGCCCAAAAAATACTCTCGCCAAATTTAAAAGAGCAAGGTGTAACCAATTTCCTGCCAAAGGTACAAATATAGAAAAATATATAATGATTTATAAATTATAATAATTCAATCATCATTGCATAATATACTAAAAAAAAAAAAATAAATATCTTTTTTTTTATTATTATTTAAAAGAATATTCTTTATTTTATATTTAATAATTTATTTTATTATTTATTTTATTATTTATTATTCGAATTTTATTAAATGGAAATTCTTTCAGATTTTAACAAAATGAAATGATTTAAAATTAATTGATTATCGATAATAGAATTGTTATTTTCAAAGTCGATATTTGAAAGAGCATAAAAGTATTTAGCGAAAAGGATCTCATTGATTAATAATGCTTCATTGTGACTGTGAACTAAACGGGTGACTTCAGATAATTTCTACTGTGCTGTTCTAATGTGTAGGTTTTGGTTGTGTTGTGATATAATTTCTGATATTTTGTTTAGTGGGAGATATTGGAAGTTTTAAAAGTTTCTCTACATCAGCATCAGCTATTTGTAAGAAGAGGTTTTGTGTGGTGATAACTAGATTCTCTAATGGTTCTAATGTTCTCTCAGAGATATACTAAATTATTCTCTCTACTATAAAATCTTCACTTAAAACTGGTCTATTTGTTGATTTGTTACTTGGATAACCAATGAATAGGTTCATCTAATAGTAAAATTGAAATATTAGATATTTATTTTTTCTAAAAAATGTTAACCGCAAACTTGAATTTGAGTGATAAAGTAAGGACAACTATTTCTTTATAAAACTAATTAGCTGTATCGCATTTGCCTGGCCAGGACAAAATAGATATTCTTTAAATAGCTTATTAAATTGAAATATTGTAACTTTGTTATTATATATAATATTGTAAATAATGATTACCATCATTTTGATTAATTTTATATAGGAAATTATTACTTCTAAAGGTTAAGCTATCTCTGATGGAACAGACTGTTCAGTATTTAGGTATATTTAAAGTTCTTTAATAATTTGATCTAACTTAGGAAGCAAGTATATAGCCAGAATACACAATTTTGATAATAATTTCTTTAAAAACTTGGAATACATAGTTTAATTTATTTGGCAAATTCGACAGTAAACTAACTTTCTCAATTGATTACAAAAGTATTATGTTTCATCTAATAAACATAACCCCCATAGTCTATAAGAACGGAATTCGTTGAGTTTGAACATAAAATTGCACTTGACCAATATTTGATAATAACTTGATTTGAGTTTAGCTTATTTGCTTGATCTTAAAAGATTATGAAAGAGAAGAATTATATTTAATTGTAACTGACTGGCTTTGGTACAAATAGACCATTATCACTTGTTGATAGATTTTATAGACTATAATAATTACTATAAATCTGTTTTAATCGATTCTTTTGGCTTTTGGTTAACATATACTAATTCTTTATTGTAGCTAACAGACCCTGAAGGATTACTTGGTAATTTGATACAGATTACTATACCTATTTTTAAATAAATTTATAAAAATTAATTAATTGGTAAATATAAGTGTTTTCAGATTCCTAATTTCATCAATATTGTTTATTTTAATGTTCAAATACTTACTATGTGAAAAAACTATCTAGGTGGATATTGAAAAATTATAAAATATAAATGAAAAAAATTATTTTGATGTGGCAATTGAGAAAAAAAATAAGTTGGCTATTTGGAAATGGCATTGAGTTTAGTTGAAAGTGTTGTAAATTGTTTGGACCCTCTGTTGATTATATATTACATACATCGATTAATGATATGGAACCCATTCTCCGGTCTCTTCATCATACTCCTCTACAGATGGTGGTTCTCCATTGAAATTTGCACCATTGGATTGTGATTCTGTATAATTGTGTGATTGTGGTGCACCAGAAAAAGAATGACGGGATTCACTTTTGTTGAAAGTTGGGTAGTTTGTTGGTTCCCTTTTACAAGTATGATTTGTATCATTTTGAGAATCTGGTGGAGAAGTTGCTGATTCTGGAGGAGCATGTGGTGATTGTTCTTTATTTAAAGAATGACGAGATTCTTTGTGGTTGAAAGTTGGGTACACGGATGGTTCTCTTTTATTACTATGATCAGTTTCTGTAAAATTGGATGACTGTGGTTCATCAGAAAAAAAATGACGTGCTTCATTTTTATTGAATGTTGGGTAAACGGATGGTTCTCTTTCTGATTCTGGGTGATCATATGATTTTTGTTCATAATTTGATGGTTCATTAATAATTGGTGGGCCATTGTATGATTCAGGTTTACTTTCAAAATTAAAATGGTTTTGTTGTTGCAATTCTTGTCTTCTTAGATTTAGCAATTCTTCAATTGCTTGATGTTTTTTTTGTGCCTGTTCTTGAACTCTTTGTTGGGCTAAATATTCATCAGAGTGTGGTGGACAAGAATATTGTGATGCATTTGATTGATAATTGCCATTTCCATTGTTGTAGTTGTTGCCATTGTTGAAGTTGTTGTTGCCATATTTGTTGTTGAAATAGTATTTAATTAAAACCATACCAAGTAAGAAGGAAATAACTAATGTGATAATGGTTTGAAAAAATAAATCAACGTAGTCGTTCATTTTTTTTTTATGGTAGTTTGTTAAAGAATGTTTATGAAAGTGGATATTGAAATTATTATTTAGTGGACTTGTTATTTATTTGATTTATATAAAAAATTATAGCTATTATTAATTATTATTATTATTATTGACTATTTTAAAAAAAAAAAAATGAATATAATTATTTGTAAATTGATAAAACGAAAATGAAAAAAAAATATAATGTTCCCCCACATTCACAAAAAAAAAAAAAAATTAAAACTTTTTAAAAAAAAAGAAAAAAAAAGAAAAATTTTATTAAATAAAAAAATAAATGGGGTTTTGTTTTTATTTAAAAAAAAGAAATTTCAAATTTTCTACAAAAAAAATAAGATATGATGCACATCATTATTAAAAAATTATAACAATAGTTTTTAATTTATATACACACTATAGATTTTATTAATAGTGATTCATTACGAAATTATCATCATTCAATTTAATTTGTTAATCAATTTAAATCATTTTTGTTAAATAAAATTATAATTATAATTTATCAAGTATTGTGTTAACTAACTTTGGATGTCCGTACAATGCAAGTGTAACTAGATAAAAGTATTTACGGCATAGGTTTACTTTATTTCACAATCATCTTATTTGGAAACCCAACAAACACTCTCCCCAAATTTTGAAGATCAAGGTGAAAACAATTTCTGCCAAAGGTACAAGTATAGAAAAATAAATAATGATTTATTAATAATAATAATGCAATCATCATTGCATAATATACAAAAGAAAATAAATAAATATCTTTTTTTTTATTATCATTTAAAAGACTATTCTTTATTTATTTTATTATATATTTTTATATATCAATATATTATTTATATATCGATGCA